AGAGAGAGAGAGAGAGAGAGAGAGAGAAATTGAGAGAGGGAGAAAATGTCCTTGGTGGGATGGTCTTAGATCCTTGTATCATAGAGAAATAGAGAAAGCATCTTGGGAAGTCATGTACACTGTATATTATAAAGTACTATTAATTGAACATAACACTGCAATAGTTCCAGGAGCCATGAACAATTAGATTCATCTATTACATTTCTCTTTTGGTAGTTGCTTATTAACATTTGGTTTGGAAATGTTCAATTCTAGCCTCAATTCTGTGTCCAGTGTTCTATTCTCTGGCCCATCCCCCATCAGTCTTTGTTCCACATCCTCCCTCCCCAGGGTCACTCTTTCCTCCACTACTGTTTGCTTCACACAGAACTAGAAGCATCCTAGGCTAGAGTACACATGTGACATAAGGAGACCCAATCAGGAGACATTTAAATAAGGGTAGAAATTCAAAGAAGAGATGGTAAGGTCATTGACTCTAAGCACTGGCCCAACTGTTAGCTGAACTTCATTCACATGGGCTTGGAATTTTCTGGCAAGTGAATCAAAATGCAACACATGAATCCTAATAATTCTCATCCTTTACAGCAGGAAGTACAGTGTGCTCTCAGTGGGGGCCAAGCTATCCTAGTAGTGATGCCTTTTAACTATGGCATTTTAAACACTTGCTTGCTTGCTTATTTATGCACGTATTTATCGTTGTGTTTGTGTGTGAGAGAGCATGTGTGTTCCACAATGTGTGTGGTAAGGATTCTGTTCTCTTCTTTCACACGTGGGCTCCAGGCATTGAACTTAGGTCCTCAGGCTTGGTGGCAAATTCGTTTATCCAATGAGCCATGTCGATATTATAGGACTTATTTTCATGAGGACAGTAGGCATTTAAAGTTTTCACAACAAGATATCATATTAAATAGCTCACACTTGGGGACATTCAGAACAAACCTTTGCAGTTGCCTGAAGTCGGACAGGTGCTAAATGGTGGTGGCAAGAGTCAAGTGTAGGGAGTCAGCTGACTCTTGTTTTGGTTCCTGAATGCTGCTGATATTTGTATGGCTTGCCCTCTTCCAAGAAACTCTGGCCCTTCCTGATGTCCTTAATAGATGCCTTTAAAAATTCCTCATGAAGATATACAGCAAGAGTGTGTGTGTTATTATATATATATGACATATATAGTAACTAAATTGTACTTTCCCCTGGGAAAAGCTCATGATCTCTGGGGTGCATTTTTTTTCTTTCACATAATTGTATTGAGTTGGAAGCACTTTCCACCTTTTACCTCTAACATGTGAATTGAAAGCAGTTACCATCACCCTTTCCCTTAGCCATGGAACTCTGTTTTCAATGCTCACTATTATGGAACCCTATTTAGAAGAACTCACTGAAGTGAAACTGTTCTGAGGGAGGCCTGGACAGGCAGAGAGAGCTCTGTGTGCTCGGAGTCAGCTGGGGCGATGATTTCAAACATAATTTGAAACAAAACCCTCTTAAATTTGTGACAGGTATCACTGCCGGCTTTAACTGTTTAATTTGTGGCTTGACATCATCCTGTCTGGACTTGTACTCCATCACTGAGTGGGATGGCAGGCACTTTGCATCAGCTGGTGTCAATGCCCTTTAGTGCCCCTTTGGCTGGATCCAGGATCCAGGAGGGCAGCAAGGAGTTTGGGGAGGTGGTACCAAAGGACGATTGTTCCCTGCAGTGTTTCTGGAGGGTGGGTGGTGTCCTACCCCATTTCTCAGATAGCGTCATGGAAGAAGATGAGAAAGACCCTGGGACTGATGGACCGCATGCTGCTTTAACCAAAAGTCAGTATTTGTTTTTACCGTCCTAAAACTATTTTTCATAGCTTTGAATGAACGGAAAGTTAGGGAGAGAAGCCTTTAAAGGGAGACAAGGCATCTTATATCCCGCAGAAGCAAGTTAACCAAGACAGGGAAATTCCCTTCATTGCAGAATGGTTGGAAGTAAAATGGTGTGGAGTCCTTTATCTGACCTGAACAGACAGTTTCCTGGAATAAACATTGAATTCGCTCCCTCTTATTGTAAAACATCCTATTACAAAAAATTTGAACATGCACAAAAATGGAGAAAGTAGTGTAAAATTTTCAGTGTGCCCATTTCCCAAATTCAGAAATGACTCACTTGTGACCCCACATGTACTTCTGAACTTTTCTATTATCTTGAAGCAAATCTCTTACATCATTTGTTCATTTCCTAGTAATGTCATTACTTTAACTAGTTATTGATTACTTTAGAGATGGGTCTCACCATGTAGCCCAGTCTGGTCTGGAATGAGCTATATAGCTTCTGTGACCTTGAAGTCATAATTTTCCTGCTTCAACCCCTGGACGGTTTTAGATGGTAGGCAGGTGCCACGGATGGCTACTATCCACAGAGTATCCAATGCTGCTGCCTTTTCAAGTGAGGAACTGCTGCTGTCAGACTGGCAGGAGCTGATTCTGGAAGCAGTTGTGAGAGCCATACTTTAGAATTTGTTTCTGTCCTTTTG